AANAAAAAAAAACGTTAACAAAGGCATGAGCGCACAGGTAGAAGTTAGTTTCAACAATAGGAGCTCGCTGCTGTCGCTTGCATAGTATTCCCCTGACAACAAAGGATTTCCATGTTTGCCATAGTGGGTTGAAGTTTTTCAAAATGATATTTGCATGTTTAACAAGATGTCACACAAATGTCTCTATTCCTGTAAAAATTGCACACATATCACCTGTCTATTTCTAATTCTATCGTTGAGCAGAATAATGCGAAAGAGTAAAGCAAACACCGCGAAACTCGAAATAAGAGAGAATGGTAATGGCCGGAATTTTTCAACCAGAACTGAGATTTCGTGGAAAATTTTCTAAGAATAAGTAATTTATAATGACTCTATTGATTTATCTAGTAAAGCCAAACGAACAAAAGGAAAATTAGGAAATGTGAGGTACTTCGAATTAAATCACACTGTATCCAAGATAAAACAATCCAAACCTCGCACATCTAAGAAATTTTTCGGTCCAAGAGTTTTTAAAGCTCCTTAAAACTTTATCCATGAAAACCTGAAAAAGTCCAGATGTATAGGGCTGCGAAACCTAGCTGAGCTAACTTTAGGTATTATTAAATTTTCAATTGGAAAATTTTCGATGAGATCTTTTTGTCAAAGAGATCGTTAGTTTTGATGTTCAAATTGCTTCTTTCCTAGTCACAGTAATTAATAATAATAAGAGCTTCAATAGTATTCATATTGTATGAAAGAAATAATTCATAATCAGCAGAAAATATGCAGCGAGCGGTAATGATTAAATGAAAACACATTGTAGTAACGATGGTGTCAACATTTAAATTATTGTCGCGACACGCACAATAAGTGCATTAACATCACTGCGGTCTCTTTTTCAGTCGTCGCAGTTAGCGTACATTCTTTTCTTTTTGAGGTCTTATGACAGCTCCATACAGCAGAGTTTTAATTTAAATTAAACTCAGTTAGAAAAGATAATCATGGCTAGGCTTCTTTCTTGAACGAAGATTTGGCTAGACTTCTACCCAAGCTTGCTGCAAATGTTACAAATGTGCAGTTTATGCAGTAAACTCTTTACGTAAAACACAGCATGCGCGGATTGTCTTTTCCTTTCAAAGTTCATCTGTCAAAGCCTAGCAAGCTAGGATGGTAACAGTGAAGTCCTTAGGACGTTGGTTTGTTGGAGTATCCTTTTTTTGTATTAATGGTCTTAAAAGGCCAAGCAAACTCCACCTGTGAGTTTAAAGTTAGAGTTGTCTTTCTCCTAAAATGGTTATCGCGGAGGGGTAACGAGTCCATCTTACCCGTGACACACTTTGTCATAGCTCCAGCATTGCTCGTAACCTCATCAGAACATGCAAGCTTCTCTCCCGCAGCATGGGGATGTCCGTGGAGAAGAGAAAAGATATAAATCAAGTATAAAACCTATAATTATATTTCTTCTAAAAAGTCTATGATATCGGAAAGATGCCATTTTCCTTGCAGAAATGATATGCTAAGCATTATGAGAAATATATGACGAATAAAGCAAAAGTGAGGTATGATTGGAATAACACTTTCTATTTTTTAATTACATGCAATATTTATCTGTTATTAACCAAACTAGAGAGAGAGAAATGTAAACAGATTACCATTTCCCGAGGTAACAGTTGTCACAATCTGCTTATGTGTTATTTGCAGCATTTTACACAAAATATCTCTTTGGCCTCCATTTATCAGTTTACTGTTCGTTATTGGTGTAATTTCTCAAGGCTTATAGCTTTTTTGGGTATTAAAGTTTGAAATCCTTGTGCAATAATATTCGACAGGGAATTTACGAATCATCTATAAACGATTGTTACAATACTAGGGTCATAATTACTAGCATTTTAGTTAATTTTGTAAATATTGCAATTATTACCACAAAATTCATCATTATCGAAAAAAAAAAACAGCGAAATTCATCGAAAACGACGAAACAACCGCTGAAAGCATTTTAGTATTAATGATGTTACGACAGATGAATGCTTAGAGTACAAAATATATTGCAAAATGAATAAAGCAAGAAGTTGCAAGGTCGGAAATAGAATTTTAATTTCAAAATTATTGTTAAAAGTAGCCAAAGTAGCCAAAGGTTTACTCTCAATTCAGCCACCAATCTATTTAGAAAAATGCGTTCCCAATGGCTACATCAACTTTCTTGCTATATATTATATAAAATAAAAAGTAAATAAAATCTTCAACAAATATTGAAAAGTAGAAAATTCTAAATCTTACAAATCGTTTTAGATATCAATGAATTTCAAATTATGATTTGAAACAGAATATCATTCAGACTTGGAATTGTCGATATTAGTAACATATTAATCTAATCAATGATCACAAGCGTCATACAGTACTAACCAGCATATCACTTCTTGTTTAGGAATCCTTCTTTTTGGACAGAAAAAATTTTAGCTTTGTCTCTCCTTTCGATATCAGATATTTTACATTTTACGAATCCAATGTAGATGAAACTTTTCCTCAACATCATTAAATAAACCAGAAAAAAAAGACCGAACGACCTCAGGTAGGATGTCGTAGATCATTATCATTGTGTGATAATACAGCAAAAAAAGGTGTACTGTGGAAGTAAAGTACGATATGAGAATGATCCCACTGATCGTTAAATTTACTACTGCACTATGCTGTAAATTTTATTAGATTAAAAATTGTCATGTAACATATGCAGAAGCTTTTATGATAACAAGCCAGTTCTATAAGGACTTATTTTCTCAATCAGTTATGAGAAAATGTTCAAGAAAGGAAGGAAGGATGAAGTATTATTTTCTTCCAACCACCACCCCCACTTTTCCTAGTTAATTTATCATATTTTTCGTTATCTGAAAGAATATTATATCGCATGGTTTAATTTTTGATCCATTCCCAAATTTATTCAAAAGAATTTGACTGGATACAATCTGATCTTTTAAAAATCCTTTGCTATTTCAAATTATCTATGAATACTATAAAAAGATCCAGCATACTTGGCACCCGTTTTTTGCTTTTAAATTTAGTTTCTGTCTATTTGTACTCAGAGTAGAGGGAAGAGGGTGCTAATAATAATGGTTATTAATAATACTAATTAACAACAATAATTAATAATAATATTTAATAGCAATAATTAACAATAATAATCAATAGTCATAATCAATAATTATAATTAATAGTAATAATCAATAATAATAACTAATGATAATTAATGATAATTATCATTAACAATAATAACAATAATAATTAATAATGACAATTAATAATAATAATAATAATAATAATAATAATAATAATAATAATAATAATAATAATAATAATAATAATAATAATAATAATAATAATAATAATAATAATAATAATAATAATAATAATAATAATAATAATAATAATAATAATAATAATAATAATAATAATAATAAATAATAATAATAATAATATAATAATAAT